AGTTGTCATTTTTTCCAGCCATCAACGCCTGAAATAACAGATGAGGAGCCTGCCACGTATAATTAATCTTATAGTTTCTTTTAGTGCCTAGTATTGGTTGTCTATTAATCAACATTACTTGCCTTACAAATATAATGCTGCTTAACAATTAAGGTAATACGACTTAGAGCTAATTTTTGTATAATAAGTAAGACAATGAATTTTTATGGAATGGTTGTTTATCGAATTAGTCAATTACACATCCAAAAACGTGGTTTGGAAAATTTGAGAAAAAAAGGAAGGTGGGGAGGATGTGGATGTGATATCATTCCTTTTACTCTATAGTTACATTTACATCTTGGACAATGATTTCACTTCTTCTGGCAATACAGGATCTCAGGAAGTTCAGCATGTTGAGGAAAACATCAACATTTGTTCTAACCATGAAGAATGCAATGCACGCCCTTCGCAGATAAAGTTGACAAAAGGTTTTTCTGCCAAGGAGCATGTAAAAGGCCGCATGGTGAGTTCTTTCTTTCTCAATTTAGTAGAAATCATTGTTGTGAGAAATGGAATCATAGAGAAAAGATACGATCCTATATTGTACTCTATTTCAGAAAAGAAACAAAAGAAAAAAATGAAAGAGCAAAGATGGATTCAGGTAGATTTTACTTATTTACTGATAACTGTGATGCAGGTGAATGTTGTGAAAGGACTGAAGTTGTACGAGCATGTGTTCATTGAGTCAGAGCTGGCTAAGCTGAGTGACTTCGTGAGTGAACTTCGATCTGCTGGCCAGAATGGGGAATTGTCAGGTGCCATCCCACTTTCAAGCCTTATCAAATTGAGCCTGTTTTAGAATAATAAGATGAAGATTTGAAATAGTTGTAGCTTTGTTTAAACAGGTATAGTCATTCATGTTTCCTGCATGATCAATTTAATAATTACCAGAAGTTATAAAGGGTATTTGATGTTAATCACTCCCAAGACAACTTCAAGTCAAGCACCTATCGAGGCAATTTAGTGGGCTGTAGGTTGATAAGTTAGGGGTTTAGACTTTCGAAGGAGGAGGTCCGTGTGGATCACATAACTCAACCCTTGGGGTCAGCCTTATGTGTTTATATGTAGATTTCACAAAGTTGTCAACTGGTAGAGACAATTTTTGAAGCCTTTTCTTTTTCTTGTTTAATGTTTTATACGAACTCTTTTATCTCTCTTCTGATTAATAGTTTTCCATTTTATTGTAAAGGATTTGTAGGACTGTTTATTTCATTAATTTGCACTTGCTAGTTGTGCCTGGTGTCTCCTTCAGCGTTACCTGCACCTTTTTCTTACCTTATGTAGCATCTTCTTTCGAGTGATATTCAAGAGTTTGTTTACTAAAAAAAAGATGATTACTGCAATTTGTTGGCCAAGTCTTTGTTTCTGAACTTCTTACTGATTCTTTTTGTTTTTCTGGATGATTACAGGGGAGACTTTTATTTTGTTCAACAAACAAATCAAAGGAAACAAGCGAGAATTGATTCAGCTTGGTGTTCCAATTTTTGGACGCATTAGAGAGGAGCCCACAAGTTACAACCAAACAAGTAAGACCTACCACTATGAATTAGTGGTACGGTTCCTCAAGTTTCTTAATTTGTTCTTGATCCTAAGGAGTGATCGATTATGAATACAGAGCATTTTTTTGTTTAAATGTTTACAGTCAATATAGAACCAATTCCGGCTCTCCTCCAAGGTGTCATAGAACATCTGGTCCAGTGGCAACTTATACCTGAATATAAGAAACCAAATGGTTGCATCATTAACTTCTTTGATGAGGTCCACTTTTTTGCTGCACTGTCATTCCCATCTTTCCCTGTTATTTGCTGGAGTACGACTGAGGATAGGAGTGATATAACCATGTTTGTTTAATGCAGGGTGAATATTCACAACCTTTTCTTAAACCACCGCATTTGGACCAACCTATCTCCACTCTTCTCCTCTCTGAATCAACAATGGCTTTTGGGCGCACTCTTGTGAGTGATAGCAAAGGGAACTATAGAGGGTCACTCCAACTTTCATTGAAAGAAGGGTATGTTTAGAGTTATTTGTATTTTATTTGTACTCTTGGAAGTTAGCTGAAAAGATAATTTTTTGATATAAAGTCATGATGTTGGACCGAAATGGAACCACCGATATATGGTAAACTATGACAAAGAAGATACTGATGAAGCAGCTTTGGATCAGAATTGCAGATATTGCAAGTTCTGCTTAAGAGTTCATTGCTTCTATTGAATAGCACGGGAGGCAAGCTTTGGGTGATGGAGACGTTGTATGTTTAGTTTGTTTATAGTTTTAGAGTTTGCGTAAGAGCAACATTCCCTTCCTGATTATATTGGTGGCTAGCTCATACTTTGAAAAACCAACATTAAACAGGTGCAACTTCTCTTTTATAAATGTTACTCTCCTGCAATGCCATGATGTTTTGATTGCAACAAAATCTAGAATAATCGTATTTATCTTCACAGTGCATTAGAGTAGGAAAGTGAAATAGCGCATCTGCACTTGCAGTAGTTTCTCCACTTTTCTCCTTTCTATTTTTATTTTCTCTTCCTCCTTTAAGTCGTGTCAGAATTTGTGATATTAATGCAGTAAACTGAGCAGAAACCTTTTTTTTGAAGACAAAGGAATTGCATCTCTAAATGTTTTCCTTCATTTTAGGCTGTTCGCTTTCTTAATATATACCGTGTGTTTCTATGGTATTAACTCTTACTTGACAAGCAAGTTTGTAACCCATTACTGCTATTCTGCAGGTCTCTTTTAGTTATGAGGGGAAATAGTTCTGACATGGCTAGACATGTCATGTGCTCATCTCTGAGCAAGAGGGTCAGCATTACGTTCTTCCGAGCCCAGCCTGATACCAACCAAGGTCAGTCACCACCAACTACACCCCAGACTGGTGCCATGACTCTAGGGCAACCAGGTGTCCCAGGTCCATATGCAATGTCAAAAGGAGCTCTTAATGGTTATGAGGCACTGGATATGATGCCGAAATGGGGAGTCCTTCATGGTCCTGTTGCCATGCTAGCTCCTGTGCGCTCAATGGCAGTGAGCCCCAGAAAACTTCCTCTTGGTGGTACAGGGGTCTTCGTGCCCTGGACTATGGGATCAAGAAAACCTACAAAGCACCTTCCACCGCGTGCCCAAAAAAGAAGAATGCTTGCATTACCTTCTCCTGTTGAAACACATGTAGCAGAGCCTACTTCTGAACCAGGCATCAATAGTAAAGGGAAATCGGTATAATTTAAGCTTCGGGCTGCAACCCTAGGGCCAAAGCGATATGAATTGTCAAAGGCGTTGTTCATGCTCAGTTCTTGCACAGAAAGAGCATTTACTTATATACAAATGCGGCTCAAGTGCTGCAAAAGTGAGCTTGTTTTTTCTCTTCATTTTTTACTCTTTTCTTTTTTCTTTCTTGAGCAAGGTTAGGTTCTAGCAATTGTCACAATGCTTGTTGAATGTCATGGTAGGTCTTTAGAGGTAGTTGAGTTTTAAGTTTGGAGTGTTAATTAACTCTACTGATGGGCGGAATTTTGTATTAAGTTACCAAGTTATTTATATTAATCTTCCTTTACAGACAGTATTAGTTTGTAGTTATCTATTTCGTATCTTAATCACAGCATTCTTTCATGACCAGGATAGATAAATGTTTTAAATATGATATTCAAATTTCAATATCTGCAATCTTTTACTTTATTTTCAAGTTATGTCCTTTTTTGTACAAAAAAAAAAACGAATATTATTGCTATTCCTTAGAGGTTCAGACCATGTTAATCGTAATCTAACTTAATACTTCACAACGTGCAGAAAGAAGTTATTTATATAAAGAACTGATATTTCTGTTCTTTCTTACCTTAGTCAGGTTTGAACATTCTATTTTCGTACATTCGAATAGCCTTCATTATCTAAAGTAGCATCCTTAACTCTGGAAGTGTTCTTTTCCTAAATCGTGTTTGTGCAGTGTTAATACGACATGCCGCAGGAAAACGAAGAAACTAAGAAAATTGGTAAGAAGGTGATTGGTGAATTTTGCAAAAGTTCACAAAAATTAGGCCATCTCATAATGAAAGATCCCCAACTAAAAGTTCTACTTGAGGAAAACATCATATCGTCCTGTTAGAAGTACATCGTGTTTCGATATTCATCCTGAAATTAGAAGGAATAAACAGGTCATTCTCCCCTTTCTTTTTTCTTCTTCAACAATGATACGTGACAATTATGGTTGATAAACCTGTAAAACATCAAGCACAATAAATGTAGCTACATGTTAATGCATTTTCAACAAACTTCTTCTTACACAGAAAAGCTAATTTGTTCGACCCTCAGAGGGTAAATCAGCTGCAAAGCAAACCTACTGTAGAGCCTTGTATCATCTTGTATATGTCTGTTTGGCAGCTCTTGAAATTTTATAGATGCACATTTCATTTCTGCTAAATGTAACCTATAGAAAAGGACGATCAGTATGGTTTAGAAAACTGCACTAGTTGAAATGCTAGTATAATTTACTACAAACAACTTAATGGCACCGGTTTAGTGATTTTCACATACAATAGCTATGAGATATCTTGGTCTTACAGTATCCATCGACTACTACAGGCATAGGTCGGCATAGATCATTCACTCATTTCCTGTCCAAAAATGCATAAAATGCAGAAAGTCCTTGGAGAAGCAACTCCCAAGAGAGTTTTAAGTTTTAACTGAATTTTCCTGCCATCTGTTTTAGAGTTTACGTACATTATTTTACATCTCATTTGTTTTAGGCAATTTTCCTAACCTCTCCACTGGCAGGTTAAGTTGTCCTAAAAGAAACCCTTGAGGCTTGAACTTGAAGGTAACGGCAAAATATGGCACCTGTGCTTCCATTAGCAGTGGAACCATCAAAGAGAAGACAGAGTGAACACTAGGTGATTTCAGAATGCTTTTGTAGATGCAGTTAATAAATTTGAAAGCCGTCCAAAATAATCAGCTAAACCTCAGTCAATCAATATCCTTCCAGGTTAATAAGTGCATAAAAACTATCATGCAACCATGTTTCATTTCAACATCTGGAAATAAATGAAAAGCAATTTTAGTATGAACATAGAAGAGATTTGCATTTCAAACAAAAAGGAAAATGAATCTTCCCCATTTTATAACACTTGCAGGAGACAAATATAAGGAATACAACTAAAAAAAAAAAAGAAATAGTAGAATGCAATAAATTCTATTGAGTAATAAATTTCAACAATTTCAGATGAAACTTGACATTCTTCATCAAGCTTTAACCGGTTCGTCATCATCTTCAATATCCCAACTCAAATCCTCTTCTTCTTCTGCAGTACTTAGTCGCTTTTTCAGGTAAGCTCTATTGGAGATCGGGCTACCACCATGAGTCCCTTTCTTATCATCAATGCTGCTGAGATCCTCAATTTCATCCCACCCAAGATCCTCCTCCTCAGGCAATGATGGATGGCTTGACACCACAGAAAAGTCACTGTCTTTACCATTGCCATTACTAGACTCCTCATTGTCACCTTTCCCTTTAGAAGCTACTTTCTCAGCAGATTTAGACACTGAATCTTCCTTGCATACCCTCTCATTCTTCTCCAAATTAACTTTCTCACTTACCACAATGCCACGACTTGATTCGTCAGCATTTCCCTTCCCTTCTTTATCTGAATCATAACTCTCCACTTGCAGTTCCTCAAAAGGATTCTTTCCCTTTTCCTTCTCGACTTGCTCCTTATTCACTGGAAAATCACCTTTAGATTCCAAATTCACTACCTTCTCTTCCACAATTTCATCCTTTTCTTTCCTCCCCATATCTTCTTTCTTTAAACTTGCGTTCGACCCAACATTTCTCTCATCCACCTCTTTCTCCTCCTCCTCCTCCTCCTCATCATCATCATCATCATCATCAACATCCCAACTCAACTCGTCCTCTTCGTCCCTTGAAATCGCTCTCTTTACAAGCTTAACCCTCGTATCCTCAGCTTGCTTAAGCTTAAAAACCCTATAAAAGTACCTACACCAAAATGTCTCATGATCAACCCCATTTGAAACACCAACAACCATTTTATAAATACTCCCCATTTCCCCATTCTCTTCCATCAGTCTCTCAATATCTTCTTTCTTCTCTTTCAAAGCGAACCCTGATTTCCACTTCTTATAATCCTCCAAATCCTCTGGCTCTTCACTATAAGTACTAATATCTCCTTGAATTGTTCTTACTTGAGCATCGAATCGACTGTACCTTTTCGAGTCCAAGCTCCGTTGAGTACTAAAACTTTTGCTATTGCTTTCCGAGGAAGACGAATCGGATTCGTTATCGACGGCTAGGATTGCATCCTTGCCTTGATTGATGATCTGAGCTGTTCCTTTTAAAACAGTGTTCCCGAACTCATCAATAGCATGCCCAACGTTCTCTAACGAACCCTGGGCTACCTCGATTTCTTTTTTGAGACCCGACCCGAATTCCTTAAGATCGCGACGGTAGGTTTCTATTACGGATTCGGATCTGGTTGCTATTGTTTTGATCAGACCGCCGACGCCCCATCCGATGGGGTTCGGATTAGGGTTGGGATCGCGCTGTTTAGGAGGGGAATCGAGGGTAGAGTCTTCGGCTTTGGGGGAACCGGATTTGGGTTGAGGTTTAGGAGGATCTGGATCGTCCGCGAAAACTGATTTGAAGAAATCCATGAAGAAAAATTAGGGTTATTTGGGCTGGGCTAGAGAATTGATTGAGATTTGGAGGAATTTTCAAAAGGATGTGAGATGAAAGGGAAAGGGAAACCAAAATTATGGATAAATTTAGGAAAAAAAAGGCGAAAGCTTTTGTTAAGTCTGTTTTCTGTTTCTGCTATGAATGATACGCTCGGTGTAAACTGTGATGTGCGCGTCAGAAAAAGGGTGGACCGTCAATTTCTGGTTGGTTTCGATGGTGAACCAGACCGGTTCGCTTCTAGACCCTCATTTGGCTCTCTTGACTTGAGCCTCCTTGTTTGCGTCCTTTCCCCCCCCCCCCCCCCCCGGTCCCCCGAAAGCCCCCTTGCTTGCTTATAAATAAAATTTAGAAAAGAATTTAAATTCCAAGATATGGAACTGTAATTTTAATTTTTAAATCTAAATAAACTGTAAAAAAGTCAATTCAAATTTTCATTAAAAAAATAAAGAGTTAAATACCGTAGCCGACGTTACATCTCTACTGCCATGTCATGACAGTCTACCACGTAGGAAAAAGCAAAAAATTAAAAAATAAGGGGGAAAAAATCTACTATTCCTCACCTTTTATCGCAGTTCAAAACCCAGGGGTTTACTTGGGCTACAACAACATCCTTCAACCATTCTCGGCCACCGGTAAACGGCAACGTTCGTCTCCGTCAAAATTCTGTGTAGGTTACTCTTCCTATTCGGTTTTGATTTACTGTTTCTTTGGTTATTGGAGTACGTTCTTCACTGAAATTGATAAGCTACCTGGATAGATATGTCTAAAGGAAGATTAAGGAACTGTGAAATTTGGAACATTATCTAATTTTCAGTATCTTTAATTCGAGAAAGGTGTATTCTTTTAACTTTTATTTCTTCTTCTTGGTCTACTTTGTCTTTATTTTTGTTATAGGAGTCTGGGTAAAAATGATACTCCATATGCTTAACAAAATGCGCCTAATTGTCATTTTAGTATTTTAGCATCTTGGGTTTCAGTCCTATCCTGGCTATGAAAAGTATAGATTTGTTTCATTTTGCTAAAAAAAAAAAAAAAAACCTTTTTTAGAGTTCTCATTGTATGAAGTCATTTTCTTCTTAGCATCTGAAAGACCTTTTTACCAGAAATGGTTTTGGTTGTTTCTCGGAAATTTTAATTTTCTTCGTCTGCTTTTCTTTGTAGAATATTTCATACCGGCGTGAACCGTGAAATTATGAAGATCAGAAGTTGTGCTGGCATTACAAAACCAAGTTTTTTGCTTGTACATTACGAGTTACCTGCTCTAACCTTCCACAAGCCCGAATTAACTTGGACATCAACTCTTAGAATGCCTTGTAACCATGAGAGGACTTTTGGATCAGTTACAAGGTTTCATTATTCTGTTGCTGATAGAATCTTGGCTTCTACATCTGTGCGTTCATCTGCATCAAGGCCAAATACTGTTCGTTTGGGTCGGAAACAACGTGATTCCTCATCCTTGTATATTCGTCCTAGTTTGTTGGACATGAAAAAAGAGAGGATAGCAAATCACGCCAAGGTTTATGAGTTTTTGAGGGGAGTTGGTATTATTCCTGATGAGTTAGATGGGTTAGAACTTCCTGTCACGGTTGAGGTTATGCAGGAACGTATAGATTTTCTTCATAAATTGGGCCTTACTATTGAAGACATCAACAACTATCCACTTGTTCTTGGTTGTAGTGTGAAAAAGAACATGATTCCTGTGCTTGACTATTTGGGGAAATTGGGTGTTAGAAAATCCACTTTTACAGAGTTTTTGAGAAGATATCCACAAGTACTCCATGCAAGTGTTGTGGTTGACCTTGCCCCTGTGGTAAAGTATCTTCAAGGGTTGGATATCAAGCCTAATGATATTCCTCGGGTCCTTGAGAGATATCCAGAAGTCCTGGGATTCAAGCTTGAAGGGACCATGAGCACATCAGTGGCTTATTTGGTTGGCATTGGAGTGTCAAGAAGGGAAGTTGGAGGGGTCTTAACCAGATACCCTGAGATTCTGGGGATGCGAGTAGGCCGTGTGATCAAGCCATTTGTGGAGTATCTTCAAGGCTTGGGTATTCCAAGGTTAGCTGTAGCTAGATTGATAGAGAAGCGGCCTCACATCCTTGGGTTTGGATTGGAGGAGAGGGTCAAACCAAATGTTGAATCTCTTCTAGAGTTCAATGTTAGAAAAGCATCACTTCCATCCATAATAGCACAATATCCTGAAATTGTAGGAATTGATCTTAAGCCAAAGCTGCTTGGTCAAAGGAGTATGCTGCAGTCAATTATTGATTTGGAACCTGAGGATTTTGGGACTGTTATGGAGAAAATGCCTCAAGTTGTGAACCTCAGTAATACTTCTATGGTGAAGCATGCAGATTTCCTTAAGGATTGTGGATTTTCCTTGCAACAAGTGAGGAACATGGTTGTGGGATGTCCCCAGGTTCTTGCCTTGAATCTTGACATCATGAAACTTAGTTTCAGTTACTTCCAAATGGAGATGCAGAGGCCTCTTGATGATTTGGTTGCTTTCCCGGCATTCTTTACTTATGGTCTTGAGTCTACCATAAAGCCTAGACACAAGATTGTAGCAAAGAAGGGTTTTAAATGTTCTCTCTCATGGCTTCTTAACTGCTCTGATGAGAAGTTTAAGGAACGGTTGAACTATGACACAATTGAGATCGAGGAGATGGAAACAATGCCTTCATTTGACATGAATTCACTGATGGAACCAAGGAGCGATGAGTCTGATTCTGAGTATGAGGAGGATAGTGATGAAGAGTATGTATAAAACCATTGGCCAGGTTCAGGTATTGCTCTGCCCTTCTACACTCTGCAGTATAAATTTTTGGCTTTTTTGTAAATCAGATCAATATGTGGGGAGCACAATGTAATATTTAGAAATATAAAATTTACATTAAATTGAAATACATGGATGAACTATCTTTGCAATTATTAAATGAACATCACAGATAATCAAGTTACCTCATATCTTGCATAGCCATACCAAAAAAATGTTATGGTTTTGGTTAAGTCCTAGCGTCCGAATTAGGAGAATGTGACAATTTTTGGCTTCATTTAGGAAATAAATAAAACATAGATGTAGAACTCTGCTGGTCTAAAGACATTGTTGCCGACTTGCCCCAATTGCCCCGTTGTGGCTGGATCTCATTATTCCTTTGCAGCAAATAATTTCACTAGCTGTAGTTGGCTGCATTATGATGTGCGTCACTGCCATAGTTGCATTTTCTCCTTCATCTTCTTTCTTCTTCTATATGTGTTCAATGTCTTTTGAGTGTTATTTTAATCATAAGCGTTATATGTATCATTTACGACTGACAAGAACCCACCTTCGTTTTTGCAGCTATACCCAGCTGGAGACTGATGTTCCTTCCGCTATAGTGGTCAACTGGGCATTGGGTGTTTGGCGAATGATTTGTTGATGGATCTAGACACCTAAAAATAGACACCGTCATATCAATGGTTGATGTTTCAATTCTCCAATTTGTTTTCAGTTATTCTTTTATTTTTCAAGATGTTATTTTTACCTCATTATAAAACAAGGTGCTTATTTAGAAGTCATTCAAATACGAAACATGTTGTAAGTTGTAGCTACTGACATAAATTCTGATGAAAAAATCTGTGTAGCATAAATAAAGCTCATTTCAACTTTTCTTGGATGATTTTCATGAATCCTTGAGAATGAATGCTTGGTAAAGCAAATATCTTTTTCCTAGCTTCAACCAGGTTTAGCATGTAATGTTTTCAATTGAGTCCATGGAAACTCATAGCAAGTCTTTAAGTTTTCTCTCACAGTGAAAGGTCTCCAACCGGGTCTCTGTTGCAACCACTGTAAAAACCATCATCCAACTCACCAAAGCTATGCTATCAAATTAAAACCACCCCCTTAGCCTCCTCCTATGGGATTCCGCTCCATGCTGGAATAGAAAAATGGATACCTGAAAACGACATCTAATATACAATAACTAAAAACACATTATGATAATGTCAATGGTTCATCAGTTTGCATGTCAAAGAAAATGTCAAAAGAAATTCAGAAATTTCAGTTGTTAGATTCTCTTAAAAGACTTTTGAGTGTACGCATATATCTCCTCAAAAGGAGAAACAGCCACAAATCCAAGAATATAGATTAATCAGTATCAGTTTGTAATTGCATTTCTAAGAGATATCCGTTCGTGTTTCACTCAGATGAAACAGCCACTCTCTTTTTTGTTAATCGTGAATAATCTTCATTCTGGTTGTGAGTTGCCGCAATAATCAGCTTAAAAAAATTTTATATCTCGCATGCATGCATCATGAGTTTGAAGCTTGGAATCATTTAAGAATGATAGCACCATTGTTCCAATTGAATGCCAGTGCACTTAATTCCTATTCTGTTTTCTGTAGCCATCCAAGCAGTAGGAAACACACACAAACAGACAAACATATATATATATATATATATATATGTGAAATGCTCACAGTAGAAGTAGTAACACTCTGAACAACCAAATGGACCACATGCCTATCAATCTCCTAATTAAGGTTCGCTAGATGGAAATTTGAGATTGAAAGACAAAGCTCTACCCAACAGCAATGAGACATAGCCTTGAACCTCAAAAACATTATACAAGGCAGCTCCAGGCACAGCAGGGTTTTAGTAGCCGTGGAAGCCATTGGTGCAAAGGCTGCAGCAGTCTTCTGAATTACCTTTTGTCAATATAACATACGGACATCCTCAAAATCAACCATTTCTCCATGTAAAAAGAAACCAACTTGAAAAAATGAGGTCTTTGTCAAGGGATTGAGTGGAAGGAGAGAAAGTACTGAAGCGATTGTCACCTACCAAACGACGCCGTTTACTCTCGGACTACTCAAAGTTCGGACTAACCCAGCTCACTTACCCGTAAAAGCCTTGTCAATCTTTTATGACCATAATAGCCTCACACTGTAACTGCAATTCCTCGACTTTTCCAAAGTACAACAGAAACTATCTTGTCCCAAACAGGAAAAAGAGACAAAGAAAAGTTCCCGTTGGCCTATCAACAAACTTCGGTTTACGACATGGGAATTTCTTTACATTAACCAAAGTTTTGAAAAATCTTGTACACTTCGGTTCCAACTACGTACGGTAATATTTCCTCGCATCACTGCCAGACTTTCTGTTTGGACCAGTAGTTGGCTGTTAGTAGTTTCGCATGACTTTTATGCAACTTTAGGACATAACAAAATAATTTTTTATATATAGATCCACCTATTTATTTATTTATTTATTCTCTTCACATTTTTTTAGGACATATGATTTGGTCCGCAATGTTAGAAAACTTCATTAACTAATTTCCGTTTGTTTCCTCTTGTTATTTCTTTTACTTTCTCACCACACCAGAAAAAAAAATATGATTTTAATTAGCGCAAATTGTAATTTAATAAAACAAATTAAAACAACTTATGTTTTTAGCAAAAAATAATTGATACAAATAGGAATATAACAAGATTAAATAATCATGTTAGAACTCTTAATATTTGTTTGACTTACTTGTCAAATACGGGTTTAATATGATGCAAGTCACGCCAATAGTCGTTCAAACGTATTAGCCCAAAATAAAATTTCAAACATGTTTAGATTTAACTTGGGGTAATTTAACAAACCAAGTCGATATGTCCGAGTGGTTAAGGAGACAGACTTGAAATCTGTTGGGCACTGCCCGCGCAGGTTCGAACCCTGCTGTCGACGATCTCAGCTTTTGTTTTCCGGTCCTGTCAGTGGGAGCATGTTACCCATCAACTTTTCTTTGACTTTATAGGCGTTGCGGCGCTGGACTTTTACATCCAATTGACTGTATTGTAGCGTTTGACACACAAATTCATCACCGCACGTCACTGGTTCTGTATTTGCTTTCAAATAAAGCCTAAACCACACGGCTGTTGGTTATTGGGATTCTTTTCCTTTTCTGTTTTTGGTTACTTTCCATGACTCATAAAGTCATAAATTTTTTCTGTTCTTTCCTGATGCTGTTGTCTTCCCATCTCCACAATGTGATAGAACAATTAGTTTTGCCTTATTTTTCTGCAAATTGGGTATGCTATCTCGACAGTACTTTATATTACTTCGACTACAGCGTTAGCTTATCCTCTTTTTAAAAAAGGCGAGCAATAGCCAATTGTTTTTTTCATCATGATTTATAATGGTACGTAAGAGAATTTCTTACAAGTTGCTCTAAGAAGAAAAATGAGAGTTAGGTAAAGCAGAAACAAACCCACAAAGGAACTGCAATTCCCTTATTCATCATCAAGTTAACAACTGAATCTAATATAAGCAATATGTATTACACGTCTTCTTAACTCGTGAATATTAAAGAAAATATATTTTCTGATTGCAAGGAAAGGATGGTGGGTAAAACTTAAGACAAAAAGAAAAAAAGCAGGTTTAGGCTTCTAGAGAATCTAGACCCCTTCAAATGTTGATGTGGGGTTCTGGGATCGATATAAATATATATTAATAAACCAATGGACTCTTTTCCAGGAAAATAAAGGGGAAGATTGCGAAATTTCATGTATGATTTTGGTTCCAGTACTGGAGTCAAGTGATTCTGGCAAGTTGTAGTTAATTAACAACAGTTTGTAAGGTTCTGCTTTTTGTTTTCTGTTAATTTCTTGATCCTGATAGCCCACACACTGACTGAACATCAGATGTCAGGAGCAGAAGAACATGTGAGTCACAGTTTTGATAATTAAGATTAGTTATTGACATGCTCATGAATGTTGCAGTCCTAACCCTAATCATATGGAGTACTTCCAACTGCCACTTGCTGGACAGGATATGGTGACCAACTGATACTAATAAATATATGTATATACTTTATAACAAGAAGCAATTATTGATGATAATGCAATATTCTGTAGCCGCAATAATAAAATCTTACCCTTTTTTCTGTATATCAAGTTCTATTTGAATTTTTGCTTTTAATACCATTGTATGATAAATAAATGTTGTGGATGAATTGGAAGGAATAATTTTGGAGAGACAAGAGGAACTAAGAATTGCAGTCAAGTCACTTTTGGCTTAGAAAAATATCATAAAGATGAGAACAAATAAATCTATATTAATTGCTATATTTTTTTCTCTTAAAGCTATATATGATCACTCAATTTGACAAAGGATAAGAGCCGTTCATGTTTACAAATGTAATCAGCTCCCAGGGTAATCTGATCGAGCTTTCTTTCGATCCCTTCAAATCAACAAATCTAAAAGAAAAACGTAATTTTTTTTCTTTTAAACTATTACTTGTTCACGTAAGAAGGAAAAAGATGATGAGCGATGACTTATGAAAACTGTCATGATTCTTGATAAGCTCAACTTCCAAATTTTCACGTACAAAAAAAAAAAAACCAATATCTGCATTTTTTGGGCGAAAATTAGACCTTGGATTATCCCCAAGGATCCGATTTCTAACTAACAACTAAATTTGATAATTTATATTATATCAAATACGTGTAAAATATAAAAATTATTATATTATAATTTATATCCACACATAGAATATAAAACATAAAAGGAGAGTGACTTAGGCTAAAAGATGGAATGGCTAATGTGGAATATGATATGGAAGTTTCAGTTTCGGGACTCTAAAAGGACTTGTATAAACTAACTAACCAGCTGTCCATCTCCACCCAGCAAGTTGACTTTGCTAAGAAACAGATCCTTGTTTCATCTCTGTAATAATTAATTTTCTAGTTGATTAAACTATAACAATGTTTTTAAAACTCTCATGGGTCATGGCTAGCGAGACCATAAAATTTACCTGCAAGCTCTAAGTGAGATTATGTCAAGGGAATCTTCCAACAGCCCTAAGCAAAAAGCCTTGTGGGGACAGCAGGCAGAGGAAGAAGCTGTCAATGTTTCTAAGAATTGAGGTGCCTTTCCTAAGAACAAAGCCACAAACTCATGCATTTGGCCTCTTTCTTGATACAGCAAATCCCAGCTAGACCCACACATACTTACTCTTCTTTAAATTAAATCATTCTCCACCTAACTCCAAAACTCTATTTATTTATTTATTTTTACAACCATACTTTTAGTGGATGCCATTTATCATCTCTAGACGTCTGGGTCACAATTTTTTTTAATGTTTTTATATCTGTGTGATGCAGACCACATAGGACGCCATGATGGGGACCTGGGTTGAAGCTAATATTGCAAGCTAAATGTCTGTTTTTTCAGGTTTCATTCTGCAAACAAATATTTAAAGGGTAGTGTAATTTCAATTTATGCTCTTAAATAGCACTCCTTGAAGAGCAGGAGAAGAGAAGATTATGAATTTATGATGATGGATAAGAGATTGAGAGCAGAAAAAATTGATGGTTTGGGGGCATTTAATTATAATAATTAAAGTTTCTTTAATGAATTTAGTGAACAAATTTGTTATTTTCAAACATAGATATGATATTCATAGACAATTTTGTTCTCTAAATTTATGAAAACATTGAAATTTCAAGCTAAAAGACTTAAGATTTTGGAATCTTTTTGTACAAAAAGATAAGACTTTCCATTGCATAGTTTATATAATGTCAAAAGAGAAACCAAAGTTTATTCTTTAAGCCATTTTTCCTGACAAGCTGTTATTTGGGCAAAAAAAATAACTTCAGATTCAAATAGATGCAAACCGCAAAAAAAAAAAAAAAATGAGAATAGGATGAAAAGGAAAAACTTAGATGAAATTTTTTAATATAAATAATTTAATTAAAATTTTAATAAAACATTTAAATTGATAGATTAATAGAATTTAATGAAAAAATTAATAATATATAAAAAATTTATTAAAAATTATGTTTATAATTTAAATTTAATCAATACTCAATCAATGGCAAAAATCTTATTAAATTTTTATTAAAAATAATTACTTAAAAATATATCAAAATTTATTAAAATTTTTAAAATTTTACACAATTTATATAATATAATCTTTTAATTTATTAATTTTAATTTTTTATTTAATTATTTTTAATAAAAAATTTTATTAATTTTACCTAAAAAGTTTCATAATAAAAGACTCAATCATGATAAATTCTTTGTCAGTCCTGATCTAATCAGTCCAATGGATATTAAGCAAATCCTTTGGCAATCCTGATTTAATAAGTCTAATTGTAATAGACTGCAATTGAAAATTGCATGGGAGTTTTGTACGGCGAAATTTGAGTGACGTGGCTTTCCAAAAAGAATCCTAATTAAACGGAATGGAGTTGTTGGCTGTTTCATTAGCTTAATATCCGCCGATTTTAAAAAAAGATTTTATTTTAATAATCTTTCAACTTCTTAAAAAATAGATTTTTTTAATAAGAAAAAACCTGCCATTTTTCTACTGTCCATTACAAACTCAGACAAATTGCATCTGTCTGCAACTTGGCTTGTATACTTCCTTTAGCTCCTTCTCTCTTAATGCCTTGAAGTCACATTCAACCTTTGCTTTGCTGCCAAGTGTCAGCAAACCCTTTCCACGAAGACTCCTTCTCATCTCTTTCACCTCTAATGCAAACCAAAAATCTAGTATTTCCAATCCTTGCCCTCATTTTAGAAACAGAGTTCTAATTCTAGAAAACAACTCTGCAATTCTTTCTCTCCTCTGCCATTTTTTTTCTCATGCAATCATCAACAGCTTTAGAACCCATTTTGTTGGACACCCACTTCTCCACTATGCTCAGAGTCCTTAACAAGAGAATCAAGCGCCTTTGTGCCCGCCTCCGGTGGCCGGTTCGCCTCCGGTCCAAGTCCAAACTTGTTATAAAAAGGTTTGGTAAATCAAACCCCAAGGCTCATAGTGACACTAATGATCATACTATAGTGAATGGGACTTCAAAAGTTCACCAAGATGGTGAATTGGATAGTCTAAACTCGGTGAGGCCCATCCGTATAGCGACCTTCAATGCTGCCCTGTTTTCTATGGCCCCTGCAATGCCTAAACCAGACAAGTCTTCAAGTTTCGATTATGACAATGAAGGTTTTACAGATGTTAGGCGCTCCATCGGTCTTAGTTTACGTGCAAAGTCTACAAATGATCGGCCAAAGAGTATACTAAAGCAATCTCCCTTGCACCCAAATTCCATGAATGACAACGAGAATCTCCCCAAGCAGCAAAAATTTGTGAAATCTAAGTTGAGGGTGTCAATCAATTTACCAGATAATGAGATTTCTTTGTTGCGTAATCGACAATTGAGCCTTGCAGAACATGGAAAGGAGGGTTCTTCAAGTGGTGCTGCGACCGCGAGTAGAATTTTGAGAGGAAAAGCTCCGTTGAGATCAACAGTGAGTTTCCCAACAAATATGGGAAATGGAGTAGATGGTTGTGAGAGTTATAGAAGCAGAAAGACAGTGCTTGAAGTCTTGAGTGAGTTAGATGCTGATATATTAGCTCTGCAAGATGTGAAAGCAGAGGAAGAGAAAGCCATGAAGCCTTTGTCTGATTTAGCTGCTGCTTTGGCGATGAACTATGTATTTGCCGAGAGTTGGGCACCGGAATACGGCAACGCTGTGCTTTCAAAGTGGCCGATTAAGCGGTGGAAAGTGCAGAAAATCTTTGATGACACAGATTTCAGGTGAGTCGTAGTTTTTTTCATGTTCAAATTGTTAGAATTTTGGATTTTGATCAGTCTTTTTTTTTTTTTCTCCATAATGAATGATATTAAGGAATCATCATTCAAGCTTAACTAAACAAATGAAAGATTTTAGTCCTTGAACTCTATCCGATTCAAATATCAAATAATTTTGAAGTCAAATTCCACTATTTTTTTCGTCTTCGATTGCATAATATGCTTACAAGAGTTCTCATACAACAATGATCTGTCAGAACAGCTGTATGCAATACACAGAATAAGAACTTGCAGCCATTTCTTGAATTTAATACATCAATCTAAAATTTCTGGTTTTCAGCTCACAAAAAAGATGTTTATACTTTTTATTTTGGAAGGGAGATTGATTTTCTGAATCCATTCTACATAATATATTCGTTTGTAATTTTCCTTATGCAGCCAAAAAAGGTTCCAAATTATAAGAAAACTACCACATTGTTTTTTAGTTGCAGCCCCTTTTTTCTTTTCCAAAATTGTTTAGTTTTTCTTCTTCTCATATGGAATAGCTTAGTTTTATCATTCCAAGTAATACTAAATATTGCTTTAGTATGAGCAATCTGGTGCGATGGTTAGAGCAGTAGTCTTTGTGGGTGTAGTTAGAGAAGAATAATGCATTTGACCAAACACAGTTTTTGGCTATTTCAGTGGAAAAAGAAATCATGATTTCAAGTTTATCAGTTGAATTTGGTGAGATGCATGCTGAGATGAATTAATGAAGACCATTATTTATCTATGTTTCTTGAAAAAGCAGCATTGCAAGAAGATAAAACACAATGGAAAATGATTTGTTGCAACTTGTCATCAAATTTCTCTTCTGTTAGCTATGAACACAGCATTTGTAGTTAGTACAAACCTTGAAATTCCCTTTCTTAACAAGTCTGAACAGAATGATAGGCATCGGAACTAAAAAGTTATGCTGAGTGCCTTGGGATTTTTGACGACAGGAATGTCCTTAAGGCAACTATTGATGTGCCTGGGACAGGAGAAGTGGACTTCCACTGCACGCACCTTGATCATCTTGATGAGAAATGGCGCATGAAGCAGATAAATGCAATAATTCAATCTAATGATGGTCCACACATCTTAGCTGGAGGCCTCAATTCCTTGGAGGAAACAGATTATTCCACAGAGAGGTGGACAGATATTGTTAAGGTACATCTGGGGTGTCATTTTCCCTGAATATAATCTGTCATACTCGATGTTAAAGTAACATTTTTTAAATGAACTTGTCTCCTGTAGTACTACGAGGAGATGGGGAAACCAACACCAAAGGTTGAAGTGATGAAATTTCTGAAGAATAAACAGTACACAGATGCTAAGGACTTTGCAGGGGAGTGTGAGCCAGTAGTCGTGATTGCCAAAGGACAAAGTAAATAAACAGACAAATTCCCTTTGAACTTGTCCTCTAACCGTGCTACAATTATTTGATTAAATCCACTCATAGACATGACACGAAAAATGGTTTTGATTTCGATGCAGGTGTGCAGGGCACATGCAAGTATGGGACTCGGGTAGATTACATACTGGCATCCCCAAATTCACCATACAAATTCGTTCCAGGGTCGTATTCAGTCCTGTCTTCGAAAGGAACTTCTGATCATCACATAGTAAAAGTTGATATAATAAAAGTAAACGAAAATGCTCAAGAAAATGTCAGTAGAAAGCGACGGCAACCAAAACAGAAACAACAGAGAGTTGTAAAGATCACAAACGGCTCTCCATCAAAAGGTATATGGAATACACATACATGAGAGATTGACCCTTTTTTTTTCACCTTTTGTTATTATCCAATCTTAACTCTTGGAGCAGATGATTTTGGATCTGCATCCTACTATGCTTTGTAAACCATTAAAGGCTTAAATAGAAACCAAGGGGGTGTAATCTGATTCTTAGGGATCTAATAATTCCAAACGTTTATAGTCAACCCATGCAAACTATATTATTAGTACTTTTTAAAAGTATAGTAGGACACTTGGTATAGTTTAAGATAATTTTACATACTTAAAATCTATTCTATTGACCTTAAAAAGGGAGAAGAATAATAGATTGGAGGGTGCTTCTTGAGATATCTCCCTCCCAATTGGTCCAAAGTTCAAACAATTAAAGTTAGAGAAAATTGGTTGGTCCAATTTTCAGGGCCTCCATTTTATCATTGCTTAAGCTTTATTTATCAAAAAATGCCGGTCAGAACAACATCAGTTCTACAGCATTTCTACACATACTTTCTATTAAACATTATGTGATTTGCTTTTGTAAAAATGCCAACTTTCTACCATTCAAAAGAACAAATATGTAAAGAATAGATCGACCGAAATGCTTCTCCTTCCAATAAAAGAAGCCATCAAAAACGATGTTATCTGCATCGAATTCCATATATACATAGTATTTAATTAAGCAGAAGCAACAGAACTTGCAAAAAGTTACAAATGAAGTAACAAGGTTTAGAAATCAAATTCTTGCAATTACCGTTGTTACATAAGACCAAAACTCCACGCCTCCTTAGTTGGCAAAAACATATTATATATGAAGAATTTCCAAGAAAAACACAAAAACTATTTGTTCAACAAACCAATTGTTGTTCCTGAGAAAGTTGCTATACTGTACAATTGAGTCAAATGAATTCAAATGAATCTAACTTGATTGCAACCTCAGAGCCATCAGACAAGTAACCCTTGTACACATTCCCATAGCCTCCTCTTCCAGTAATGTTATCTCTAGAGAAATTCCTAGTAGCTTTCTTAATCTCATCGAAATGTCAACTTAACCAAATTAGTACTTTCACTAATTGAATCCAATTACCCGACCCAGAACCATCCACACTGCCCATCTCAAGATTCCTAATTCTATCCCTCCTTTTCTTCATTTTCGAATCCTGATATTTTCTATAAACAAACCAAGACCCTCCAATCAAAACAGCTACACCAACACCAACCCCGATTAGTACACCAAATTCACACCTTTTTTCACACCCTTACCATCACTACTATCACTAAACCCAGTTGAAAATAAACAAGAGGCCGTACCTTCACCGTGGGTCCCAAGTAATTAGCAACAGCAGCTGCATAAATAGACGGGTAGCGTACAGTCAGACACGTTTGCACTTGAATTGTTCGTCAAGCACAAAGCTTGCAAATTGGCCAAGCTTCTAGTACAGGAAGCACAAGCGGAACCCTGCAACGACTGGTTACAGTTTGAAGTCACGTCGGTTAAGGAAGTGTTTGGGATCAGAGCTTCGAAGTCAGCCTTTGTGGTTAAGTTCATGCAACCTTGGAATATCCAAGCGGATTGAAAACCGCAAGAGGAACGGGTGTTGGAGTTTTGGACGATAGATTGGTAAGATTGCCAACAGGACTAGGAGGAGTCTAAGGGAGGAAAGAATGATCCAGTGCGTCTAACGTAGTCCGAGAGGACGAGGCGGAGGCCCTGGCGAATGTAGGGGCACTGCATGGAGGTGTTGAGTTGGGGCCCGTTGTGGTTGGAAAGACCGGACGTAGTATGATGAAGTTTAAGGGACATGGTACGCTGCCGTTTTGAGCAAGGCATGATGGGCAGAAAGTTAAGATCAAGAAGAAGAGAAGATGGTGAAAGGACATTTGGGAGGAAATTGTTACAATAGATGGCAATTCATAGGGGGTGATTATAATGAAAAGAACGAGAAGTGGGAGTTGTTGGGAGGGGGTTTTGTCTATGGTTTTAACTTTTTAAGTTGTCGTTGAGAGTTTTGACTTGAAAAATGGAAAGGAAGGAAAAATGTGAGAGATGAGATGAGATGGGAATGGAGGGACACGCAGCACAGCCTACAAGAGAACCGACAGAGAGGTGAAAACGTGAAAAATACAACAGTGAAGTGAAGACTGATGAGATTTGGAGGGAGAGGGCGGTGTGGCAGAGAAACAAGCTGGCAAATTCCCGTAACGTTGCGTCATGTTTATTTCTTGATCGTGTGTTTGGTTTTGTTCGTTAGTGGTTCAATTTGGATTCTCGCTCCTATTTTTTTAGTTTCCAAAATCAAAATATTGATTAGCATAAAATCAAGGAAAACAGTGTTGGTTAATAATGGCATTGAAACATGGTTTCAATTCTAAGCCAATACTATCCATGAAATTCAAGCATAGACGAAGAAAGTCAAGAATCTCTATCCTGAGTTGTGAGTTGTGACCTTCCAAGCTTGGCCAAGAACCTCAATGAAAGATTTGACTAAGCTAGCTTGCTACCTTGAAATGGTTCAATGAGAGGGGACAACAAAAAGGGTCCCCCCATCCATATTTCCTTTTCTCAGAATTGGTTCCGAAAGGAAAATGATGAATCTGAAGGCCTTTGCCAACAATCTGCACTTTCACGCCCTTTAAACAAAAACCAACCCTCTGAGGCTCTAAAGCTGCTTCTTGTTCCCCTCTCGTAACTCGTCGTTGTTTCCCTGTATTTGTTTGAATTTGGCTACTGTATTTGAATTAAAAGAAACAATAATATTTTTAGGGGCGAAATCAGATATAAAGAAAAGAAAAAGATCAGATAATAAATATAATGGGAAAAAGACAGTTAAATAGTAAATTTAATTTTAAAAGGTTCTGTAATTATAAAAGATTGTTAAGATTTTTTTAAGGGCTGACCCATTCCTGTCCCCTAGCTATGGGTGCTTTCTATATTATTTGAATGAGTCACCTAACAAAAAGCTAATCCCATACATGTTGTCTTGGAGGCAATTAATTTTGATTTTATCATAAAATTAACAGATTTAAATTAAATTTATTTTACGACAGAAAATATTTTAAGTTATTGTTATTACTATTCTTTTTTTTTTTGTTTTAATACCAATATACTAGGAATAATATAAGTGTAAAACTAATGCATTAAAATCTCAATATATGTAAATTTACGGCCCAGAGCCGGTTTATGGGTCAACATAATTTAACGTGTCACGAACAAAACCACAAAAACAAAAGAAATAAATAAATAAATAAAAAGGGTGTAATAATAAGTTGCGTGAGGGGTCTCGCCAAATGACCAAAAGTAGTAGCGGACACAGCAAAATCTGATCGTCATTTATAACAAGTCAGCCGTTTAACGTAGACACAAACGAGGGAACCACCGACCAAAGTAGAAGAACCCCCAATTATTTTTATTTTCAGCTTGTATCTCAATCAACCGTCTTTTAAAAGCGAAATCAAATTCTTAGTATCAAATATTTCGCTCTCATTGCTGTAATCAAAACTCTTGTGAAGCAAGCAACATTAGATATTTTTATTACTAACCAAAAGACAAAAATAAATAAAATAAATATGTGCTTATAAAAGAAATTTGAAAGAAAACAACAAGAAAAGTACTTGGTATAAGTACTTGTATCAATCTCTTGATTTGTAGGTAAGGATTTAAAAAATAAATTTATTCAAAATATAAGAATTACTTAATAAATTTAACAATATTAAATGGTTAAACATTCTGTTATCAACTCTTGAGCAAGATTTTTGATAAAAATTTTTTTAAATAAAATTTGGGAAATTTTATACAATAAATTAATTAATAAAAATTTAAATTGATAAATTGGTTGAATTGAATAAAAATATTAATTATATGTATAAAGTTATTAAAAATAATATTTATAATTTAAATTTGATTAGTATTTATTTAATTATTAATTTTTAATAAAAATACTCATTCAAAATATATAAAAATTTATTAAGATTTTTAAAATTTTATGCACTTAATTTATTTAATAAAATCTTTCAATTTATGGATTAAAATTTTTTATTTTAATTTTTTATCAATTTTATTTAAAAAATTCACTATTTTCACTTTAAAAATTGTATTTAAGTCTTTCCTTCACTTATTTGAAAAAAAAAATGTAGTATTATCACTGACGTCTCACTCAAAATGAACAAATTGAATTTTTTTTCTCAATTTAATTTAATGCTAAATTTGAGTGATTTAGGATTTAAAACATTATGATGGGAGAAAACGAAAGCTTAGCAGCAGCGTAACAACAAGTTCACAACATCATCCACTAAATCTAAACCAGACAAATTCTTGGTAAGGGTAGGTGCGATTTTCTTGTCTAGATTTTATTACAAAGATTCGGAAATACATACTGACCATATATTACAACCTTATCCTTTTTTTGCTCAAAATTTCAATAATCTTTTTCCTTAAATAAAGCCAAATAACTCGTTAAACATTGAACATTAAGAATATTTAAACTCTTTAAAATATTTCCTTTTGATTTATGCTTAATTTAAAATTAAAAAAAAATCATGTTGCCCTGTTCATCAAACCAGTTGCGGTGTTCTTATTTGTAACGGTGGGACACATGAAAAATCCAAGGGACAAAACACCACGTGTTAAGTCAAGTGCCTCAACTCAAACAAGAACAAAAAAGAGCGCCTTCTCTGACCAATCAAAGCTTTTTCAAGTACGGACAACAATCTTAAACCCATTCCCAAAGAACTCATCATTCATTAATTTCCCTTTTCTTTTCTTTTCTTTCTCTCAATAAATAAAATTAAATAGTAAATAAATTGTTTAAGTTGTAGTATTAGTATTGACTTCTAAAATAAATACTTCAATATTTTTCCAAAAACTATTATTAAAATCAATATTGCTCCAGAAGCAAGTGATCATGATAGCTTAGAGTAAGTTCAAATTGATGTGCACCTCTTCTCTGCCCGTCCCACCCCTTTGTTTCCCTCTCTTCTGTTGTTTTTTCTGTTGTTTGCTCCTTGTGAAACAATATCTGACTCTTTCTGAAGAGCTTCAGCTTCTTCCCAATGGTATGTCCATTGTCTTTGCTTCTTCTTCTTCTTCTTCTTCTTCTCTTGTTTTCTGGGGTTTCTTATATTTTTGTCGTTTTTCTTCTCTGTTGCTTAGTTTGATGAACTTTGCATGATATGTTATCATAAACCTTGTTTCATGTCTTTGTTTTCTATCTAGGATTCCGCTCTATATCAGTTTCTCTTTGTTGGGTTGCTTCCTTTTCAACATAAATTCTAACCTTTTGTAAGAATCCATCCCTTATTTTTGCACTCAAGTTGGTGCTTATTTGTTGTTCATCTTATTTTCCCCCAAATTTGCCGCATGCTTTAATCTTTGTGTTCTTTTATTCCATGTTTTAGGTGACTCTGAACCTTCCTGATTCTATTTGCAGAAAAATCAAAACGATTTTGCAAGTTAACGGGTAGAGGAGGCGAAAACAGAGTACTCTGTTCTTTCCACAGTCTCTTTTCGTTGATGCTGAAAAATGGATTTTGGTTTTAGTATTTGTTTTTCTCCATGACCTTTAGACATGGAGAAAAAGATGGATACATGTTCTCTTAATGGAGTTCTTGAGGATTTCTTTAGGAGTGAAGAATTTGAAACGAGCTATTCCTCTAAAGCACCAACTACAGACACAAAGCAAAATTCAAAGCAAGGTTTTCGATGGCGTGGATTTGCTCAGTTATTTAGAAGTAGATCGAAAAAATCATTAGCCAATTTGCAGTCTCTTGGGTCATTCAGACTATCATTAAGGAGGAGTAGTAGTATGAGAGAAAATGTTGCTGTTGCACCAGATTTTGTTGCCAAAAGCAATTCATGGAAAGTTTTCTCTCTTTCTGAGCTTCAAATTTTCACCAAAAACTTCAGCAGTGGTTAGTATTTTCTCGAGTACTTAAGATTTGATTTTACTCTTTCAAATTGATCTCATGGTATGACTTTGTAAGATGTTGACTTGCTTTTGTGCAGAAAATCTTATCGGAAAGGGTGGTTATGCTGAAGTTTATAAGGGGACTTTGCCAAATGGGCAGCTTGTTGCAATTAAGCGGCTAACAAAAGGCACACCCGATGGGATTATCGGTGATTTCTTGTCTGAGCTTGGGATTATGGCCCATGTTAACCATCCTAACACTGCTAAGTTAATTGGCTATGGAATTGAAGGTGGAATGCATCTTGTCCTTGAGTTGTCTCCATATGGAAGCTTAGCTTCTTTTCTTTATGGTTAGTACATGATTTCTAGAAATGCTTGATAATGAACACTGAACAATCTTTTTTTATAATTACCAGAAGCCCAATCTAAATAACGTACGTATTTGATTCTTACAGGTTCAAAAGACAAACTGAAATGGGGTATCAGGTTTAAGATTGCTCTAGGTACTGCTGAAGGTTTAAGATATCTTCATGAGGGTTGTAAGAGGAGAATCATCCACAGAGATATCAAGGCTGCAAATATTTTGCTTACAAAGGACTTTGAGCCTCAGGTACCCTTCAAACGAATATTCTGAAATGCGAACATTCTGCTTAACACCATTAAACCCATAATTTCAGTATGTTTCATTTTTCTGTTTCTCCTTGTAATATTTTCGTTAGTAACAAAAGGTAACAAATTTTGGTGACAGATTAGAGGAAAGTTAACACAAATTTTGGCTGGTTCTCTTCTTCTATTAGTAATTTACATTTTGTTCAGATTTGTGACTTTGGGCTTGCAAAATGGCTACCAGAACACTGGACTCATCACACCGTTTCCAAGTTTGAAGGCACATTCGGGTTTTATACCTAACACTACCCTTCTTTGCAGTTATCCATTAGAGATTCTATAAATAAATAAATTATTTCCTTTATTGCTTACTTTTGCAGCTACCTCGCTCCTGAGTACTTGATGCATGGCATAGTAGATGAAAAAACTGATGTTTTTGCCTTTGGTGTATTGTTGCTGGAACTGGTCACCGGACGCAGAGCTCTAGATTACTCTCAGCAGAGCCTTCTCTTGTGGGTACGCTTCTTCTTTCTTTTCTACTCACTAAAACACTACATCGTATCGAGGACTCCCATTGCATGCGCACATTTAAGGCAAATGGCAGCAAATTAGGCAGATCATAATCAAGGATTTGGAATTTTATGCTTTTCTAGGCAAAACCTTTGTTAAAGAAGAACGACATTAGAGAGCTAATCGATCCTTACCTCGGGGAAGACTACAATACTCGACAAATGAACCTTGTCCTCTGGGTTGCTTCTTTGTGCATACTGACGTCTTCAATTCGGCGCCCACAAATGAGTGAGGTATGTTAAGAAGCTCAAAATCAGTTTGATATTTGTGTTTGATATTGCAGCTTTAATAACTTCGATTCAATTTTAACAGCTATATTTGAATATGTCATGAAGGTTGTACAGGTCCTTAATGGCAACCCCAATAGCTTAAAGAGCATGAGAAAATGTCGGATCCCATTCTTCAGAAAAGCTTTTCATGAAGAGATATTCAACGCAGAAGATCTAAGCTCAACCAGGAGTTAAAAAGGATCTGAATGGAACAAGCAAAGCAGGTTCCTTTGGATTATATCCTAGGGTAAACTACTCTCAGCTACCATTTCTGCCAATACCCTTCTGAAAATCAAGGTTTGTGATCAACGGGACCTTCAATTTTGTTGCTGGAATTTTGAGAAACAGGCTATGGAATTGCTCAGTTCATTCCACCTGCAAATGATCTGGAAACAAGTTGCATGAGAAAAGAGCAAGTTCATAGGGACAAAAAGATGGATGTTGTGTCACGTACATAAAAGGAATTTTAGAAGAAGAGAAGAGGCACGAGAAGAACTCCAAGGGACAAAAATAAAGAATGCCAGTGTGTCTTTGAAGACATGTTCATAAGAGAATCCTGGGGAACAAAACTAGAGAATATCCATATTTTAGTCAATTTTGTAGGAGAGAGAGATGAGAAAGAGCCGTTGTCCTTTTCTTTTTTTTTTGAAGTTATGAGAAAGTCCTTTGAATCCTGAAAATGATAGATTCCTTGCACCAGCTTCAGTTTCCGATCATTGGACGGGATTTAACGAATCATTTTATTCATCACGTGAGATTGGTGTATAAATAAGGTTTTATTGAAGATAATCTTCCAAACTTAGATTGGTGAGAAAAAAAATTAAAGTTTTCTTTAGATTAGATCATTTTATTTTAATTCTTTTACATGAAAGAACAAACATTATTTGTTAAAATTATGACAAGTTTAACGGGTAAGAGTTTTTTTATATAACTAACATTTACGCAATTTTAATTTTATCTTAAGTACAAGATGAAGTTTAAATCCCGATCCTCACTTACAAAACAGGTCTTGCACACCCCACGAACAGGGAATTTTTATTTATTTTTTTTACAAGGGACGACATAAATCATGTCTTAACTTACCAATTTATAAGCCTTTTCAAGTGTTTGAAGGATGTGATAGAGAAACCAATTCAATTATCATGGGTTTGTTTATTTATGACCCAAACCCTAGAGGCAAGCAAACCTACTGTCTTCCCTCCGTAATCCGCCTACCCATCCATCCCTCCATCTTTTTGCTGATCTTATCATCATATCATTCATCGGTTAATAAATTATTAGTTTCATAAAGTATAATCAAACAGCCAGAACGGGATGTTATATATATACATATATATGTGGGCAGGTTTATAGGAGTTTTACTACCAACCTAGAAGAAGAAACCAGCTATGAATGAAATGGTGGGTAAATAAATAAATAAATAAATATATATATATATATATATATATATATTCTTCTATCTTTCGTTTTCAGTTTTGGTGGAAAGCTAGGCCTAACAAAAGTAGATTATCCTATAATTGCATAGTGAAGAAAATGATACTCAGCACACATCAAGCCCAACTCACAAATAGTAATGCCCAGCCTAAGCTAGGCCCCTGATTCAACAAGCCCAATACCAATGGCACCACAGAATAAAGGCCCCACTTTAACTGAATAATAATAATACTTTTTTTTTTTTGCTTCTCAGGCCTTCGCGTGTTGTCATCCACAAAACCAAAATTTAACTTCCAATTACCTCCTTAATCGCTGGCATTTTTAACTTTTGAAAGCTAAAACAATAAACAAGAGAAAAAAAATTGCTGCGCTCTTTTGCTTACATCTCAATCTACAGTTGGAATTGTTCAACTCTTAGCACCAAAACAAAAACAGAGGTAGTGAGAAAGAAAGCGAGAGAAAATGAAACTTCGGAGAAACAAAAAATAATTTAAATAAAGCTATGTAGGATACTAAACAAAATAAAAGGGAAGGATTAGATAACAATAGAGAGTATAGAGCGGAGAGAAAAGAGGCAAGCCAAACCTCAAGCAAGCCATTGAAAGTGGAAATTTTTATTTTTGGTTTGTTGTTAAGGTTTTTGAGTTGCGATGGAAGAATCGGATGTTTTATCGATCGGAGATGCCACTTGGCGGTGGTGAAGGTGGAGAGTAGTAGAACGAGTAGGAGTGTTATAGTTGGAGGATGAGGAAAGGGAAAGGAAGGAACAATGGCTTATTGCCAAATTCGTTCAGGATAATATCTTCTTGTCTAAAGACTGTTTCCACGAATCCTAGTAACGTCGCTTCCACGGTTCGCTCCTCTGGTGCTTTCATTTCCACTTCTTCTGAAGATCATAAAGATTCAGGTTTACGTTCCATTTCTTACTCAATCCTTTACATCTGTTTTTTCTTTTTTGAATTCTAATTTGCTTGGTACTGAGGTTATTTTAGTACAGTGGTCTAGGTGTAATAATAGAGAGGTAATGGTGGTTTATAACTATGAGAGAGAGAATTAAATTGTCTCAGACTTTTATAACTGCGAAAAGTTATGAAGTACTTAGGGATGAAATTTTTTTTTCTAAAAAAAAGTTGGTTTTCATTTTACTTTGTGGAAGATATAAATTACTAGCATGTGATTTTCTTTTACTTTTTTATTATTAGCTCTTTTTTTTTATCAAAACATGAAAACTTTCATTACACAAGAAAAACATCAACATTTATGATGGAATCTGGGAGATACTCTCATACAGATATTTGACCCTTTGTACAAGATAGCCGGGCCACGTTATGAGACAATGCGTTTGCAAACCCGTTGACATGTAAAACTAGACAAGCTCTATATTGTGACGTTGCTCTCAAAATATCTACTATTATTCCTGTTCCCTCCCAGTAAGAGTCCCTCGCCTTTGCAAGCCCCTGCACCACCACCATTGCATCAGTTTCCACCTCCACTTCCTTATGGCCCCATTCCCTAGCAATACCAATCCCAAAGAGAACGGACTTCATTTCTGCATGAAGAGAACAGCTTACATTCGAAGTGCTCGTTGCTGCACATAGCACCACTTTACTTCTTCTATCCCGAACGACTATTCCCAACCTTGCTGTCTTGTTTGTGCAATTAAAAGATACATTCACATTGATTTTGAAGTCAACATCCACAGGAGATATCCATCTCATCAGTGTCTTCCTGCAATTCCCTGCCTTCCTGCAATTCCCTGCCTTCCTGCAAAAGTCAATCCACCTTGTAGACACTCAATTTAATCTAAGTTCGGATCAATTGGACCTGATCCAAATGAACAAGATTAGTCCATTTTTTTATTATTATTATTTTATTTATATTATCATTATTTTTTTATTACTGTTTTTTTTCATTTATTATTTTTTATTATTATTTGCTATTATATTATTATTTTTATTGATTTTATCTTTTCTTGATTAATTAGGAGATAATGATTAGATTAATTAAAAATAATAAAAAAAAGTGGTGAAAGTAGATTTGAACGTGAATTTGGGGGCTGACAGAGTTGGGATTGAATTCAAAGTTTGAATCCTAATTCCAGATGGAATTGAGATTGATCAAAAACTCTTATGATCAATCCTTATAAATACATGTTGAAACAGAACCCAAAGACACTGAGAAAAACACAACAGAGAGGTGAAATAGAAGCAAAAGGTGTTTAGAGGCAGTGTAGAATTTTAAAAAAAAAATTTGAATTTTTTAGAGTTTTTTCTAGAAAATTTTTGAAAATTTTTTAGAATCTGATGAAATTTTTCAATGAGATTTAAGTTTTTCCGGTGACTTTTTCGACGAAATACCCAGTTTTCGACAAAAAAACCTAGAAGCTGGTGAGAATCCCATCGATGTTCTTCACGGGTAGAGAGAAAAGGAGAGAAAACTAAGAGGAAGAAAGAGGAAAGGGAGAAGCATCTGGCAAAAAAACGAGAATTTTTACCTTTTATACTTGCTCAAGACGAAGTCGTTTTGGCATTAAATCGGCCTAAAAGATCCGCACGTTTTTGTTTGGTTCAACCTAACCCGAGCGTTGACCCATGTCTGACCTGATTACTAGTTAACCCCTGCAGCCGAGCTAAGCCAAGCCGTTTCCCGTCGAGCCGCACCTTTGAGCCATGTTTTGTCTTTCAAGCTGAGCCAATCTTTCCAATTGAGTCGCCTTAAGGTTTTATTTATTTATTTATTTATTTATTTATTTATTTATTTATTATTATTATTATTATTATTTTCTAAATTATAATTATTTGGTATTTCTTATTTTATTTTTATTTTTATATATATTTTTTATTTTCCTTAAAATTAAAGTTTCAAAAAATATATATTTTTAAGGAGAAGTTGAAAGTATCAATTTTTCTGAAAATAAAAGAGGTTTTAAAAAATATTTTTAGGAAAAGTTGAAAGTATCAATATCCCTTGAAAATAAAAAAGTTTAAAAAATATATTTTTAGGAAAAAGTTGAAAGTATCAATTTTTTTTAAATTAAAATTTTAAAAAAATATTTTGAGAAAAAGTTGAAAGTATCAATTTTTATTAAAAATAAAAATTATCAAGAAAAATATTTTAAGAAAAATTTGAAAGTATCAATTTTTCTTGTACAAAAGTAATGAATTTTTTTTTTTATGAAAAGAAAAGGATTTATATCAAAAAGTTGAATCATTATTTCTTTTTATTTTATTCTTTTTCTTCTTTTCTTTCTTGAAATTTTTTTTAATGTTAAATAATCCAACAACGGAGTTTCTACAAGTGAAACAATAGTTTTTTTACATACTCTTGAGGTGAAGGGATTTTCTTAATTTTTTGCCAAAAGTATTAGAGTTAATTAAGAATAATTAATTACTTGATAAAATTTTTAAGGCTTATCGGATAACATAAAATCAAGTTGGTACCATCTTTCGATGGGCGTTGTAACAGTGCTATAACCTTTTTCACATGTAATTGAACTCTCGAACCCTGTTCTAGTTAATAGACCTGAACCTATTCTTTTAGGGACCCTTAGTCAAGCTTAGGTTTTCTTTGAAAGGATAATTTTTTTAGGTGATCAATCGTACCTAAATAAAAAATATTGGTGGCGGCTTCTCAAGTCAATATCTAGCGATAGATCCCTGGATCTAGACGTTATGACAGTTTGACGACTCCGTTGGAGAATCTACTGAGAGTCAGGCTAGCAAATAAATTTGTGTTATCCAAAAGCCTAATAAAATTTTTGTATAGATTTTTTTATTCATTCATATTTATTTACTTTGTTAATTTTGTCATTCATATGCATAAGCATAACATGAGCTCTATACCCAAGCTCCGTCCCTCTAAGAGGGAGTAAAATACCTATTGCTTTCATGAGGTTTTAATACTTTCGTGAGGTTTTAATGCCTTCGTAGTGGCTAGTGAAATACTCCCACTCAAATTGAACATTTTTCGCTCATAGCTTGTAATGGATGAAGATTGGGGTATCTTACTAGTCTGTGATGGACAATAATGTAAGGAGCAATTTGGAAACCTTTAGACTTTAGCCTTAAACCACATATTGTGTACACTTAAAAGGCCAACCCTAAGATAGAGTCATTCCTACCCAATAATAGATATACCATGAAACTATGATACAATAAGGGTGTTTATCTAATCATTTTGATTGTCTAACTTTGTGCATCATTTTATTATCGTATGTAACATTATGCATCTACATCACTTTTATTTTATCCATGAAACTAACCATGTTGTTTGTCTGATTTTGTGCATATGCATTATTTCAGTCTATGCATCATTTTCATGATCTTGTTTTAACATTATCATTTACATCATTTTCATTTCATCCATGAAGA